TTTCCCTGATACGGCAGCCATTTCTAAGTATCGCTTCTGTCTTGCCTTTGTGCTCAGGCTTCTGCTGCTGCTTGCTGCTGCCACCACTATCCCCCCCCCCCCCCCGCCCACGGCGACTCCTACCCTTCCTCCTACTCTCACTACCACGCAAGCTTCTCGTGCAAGTGCTTCTCCTCCCACCCCTTCCGCCCCTTACTATTCCCCTGACTATTGCCACTACTACTGCGACCAGATCTTCGAGCTGGCTCTACAGGTGTGTTTGCCACTCTGCTTGGTGCTGTAGAGTTGGCGCAAGGTGCGGGAGGCAGAGAGATACAAGCAGCAGTTGGTGTTGCAGCAGGCCAGGCTTGCGTTAGTCACTTAGGCACAGACCTATCTACACTTGAGGAGCGACGTGTGCTGGCTAATGTAGGATTGCCTGGAGCGCACGATTGTGGCATCTTTTCTGGGGAAAGAGCCCTCAAGGTGCAGCAGAACTACGCTCCGCCAAAGATTCAGAAGGACTTCGCGGTTGTCATGCTGGACCACATCCTGTGTACTGTTTACATGATGTTGATGGGAACCTACGTTGAACACGGCCGTGGCCCCCGAGCGAACGAACCATGTGGCAGGCACATGTCTAAGGTCTACACTGCATCTTTGTAGTATCTTTGTTGCGCTACCGACGGCTTGAAAGCAGAAGCACCGTCCATCCTACAGGAGGTGCCACAGGCAAAGCCAGTCAGTGCGCCTGCAAGGCGATGGGCTAGGTTGGTAGCTTAAGTTTCCCGGCTCGGACGGCCTTTCACAGACAGATCTCCCTGCCAGGGAGCAGGTCCTTGTGCAAGCCTGCAGCAAGGCCAGCGAGGACTCCTCCAGTTATATAAACTTGTGATGGTTGAAGCATGCTGAAGGTCCAGGTGTTGAGTGTCAGACCGAGCAGGGAAGAAAAGCACTTGCTGCACTGGGCCAAAAACATACAACGAGTTTCGGAAAATCTGTTTCCGGTTGGGCTGTTAGAGGGCACGTCTATACAGTAAGTTCGACGAGCAGAAGGGGGTCCTAAAATTGCAGTTTTCAAAGAGGCGCCCAACCCTAAACCCTAAACCCTAAACCCTAAACCTCCAAGAGCCTTAGGATGCTGCTGCAACCCTGCGCGGCGCAGCGCGGGTGCCGGTCAGAATCTGAGCTGCCAACAAGCTTTGAAATGGGCCCGGGGCCCTTGCTCTTAGGGCTATCCTAAACCCTAAACCCTAAACCCTAAACCCTAAACCCTAAACCCCAGGGTTTAGGGTTCAGGGTTTAGGCTTTAATGAGGCTTGAGGGTTTAGTTCTTTAAGGTTTGCTTAGGAGTGAGTTCCATGAGCTGCTTCGGGGCAGCGTCATTAAAGTCCTAATGTGCATCAGCGCCATCTTTCGCACAAGTCGCACAAACATGTGGGGGTTTCCAAGAATAGGGGATACTTCTTGGGAGTCCCTTTGAGGGGAGTCTATTCTATTTGGGGTAATTTTAAAAGGGGCACCCCCTTTTTGGGAAATGCCCAAAAAGAGCGATGTTGCTGACGTTCCAGGGGTTGACGAGACGCTCCGGGCCCCCCTGGCCGAGGCCCAACTTCAAGCGCGAGGCGCCCGGAACCCTAAACCCTAAACCCTAAACCCTAAACCCTAAACCCTAAACCGTGGCTCCGGAAGCCAATCGCTGACTATTGGTGACACTGCCTGGAAACATGAGTTTCCATGGAAGGGTTTGGGGGTTTAGGGTTTTAGGCCGCGGGCTGCAAGAGACCTGCAAAAAAAGGGTTTTCGGGTTTTTGGGGTTTTTGGTTTTTTTGGGTTTTTGGGTTTTTGGGTTTTAGGGTTTTAGGATTTTTTGGGTTTTAGGGTTTTTGGGTTTTAGGGTTTTAGGGTCAAGATCTGGAAGGGTTCATCCTGTCTTCTGCGGGAGGCCCGCCAGCTGCGAGCTCACCTTTGAAGAGGCTCACGGAAGAGGCGGCCATGGCGAGGGAGGTGCCTCGAATGACGGGGGAGTTTCGTGGGTTTAGGGTTTAGGGTTTAGGGTTTAGGGTTTAGGGTTTAGGGTTTAGGGTTTAGGGTTTAGGGAGGCCCTTGGGACATTTTGTATTTTCCCTTCTTGGCTTTAAGAGGATACTGTTGAGCAACATTTTTTTCAGAGGGTCTTAAGGGCCATCCTAAAAAGTGGGGGAGGGAGAGAATCAAAGCACGTGCCCACACCCATTTAAACCGAAGGAGAGGAATATACATGTACATGTATCTGTATGTGTAGTTTCGACTGTGTAGATACCCATGCGTTTCTTTCTAAATCGGAGTAAGCAAAGCACAAGATGAAAGAGCTGCAACACTAAATGTAATACATTGCAATATGCTACAAAAGAGGGATTCTTTCTACAACATGTTCAAGCTCGTACATACAAAAATGGCTTAGTACATATAAGATGGTTAGACCCTCGGGGATGGCGGGGCAGAGGGAGAGGGATATAAGATGGTATAAAGACTACAAAATAGCAAGACTCTTTACATGCAGTAGCAACATCTCCGAACCCAGGAAGCAAGGCGATCCTGCAAGGACGAGCTTCTGAGCTGGGCGTCCCACCTGGAGGTGGGTTAGGGTTTAGAGTTTAGGGTTTAGGGTTTAGGGTTTAGGGTTTAGGGTTTACGGGGGTTGCGAGTTTTTCATAGGAGGGCGTTGCCGAGTTGCCTTAGGGGCTAGGGTTCAGGGTTTAGGGAATTCCTCAGTTGTTGAACCCTCCAACATAGGGAGCATATAGGCCTCACACAACCTAACCGTCGCATGTTAGGTGCTATGTGACATCTGGGCACTTCTCTAAACTATCGTTCATCCCTGAAAATATTGGCTCCGTCTTATCATAAGAGACCCCAAAAGGAAACATAGTGCCCTGCCCCATTTGGTGGCCGTTAAAACCGGGGGAACGGTGAACAAACGAGTCTCGACAGGCGCGGGCCGAAGATTTTTTTGCAACAGAGCTCAAGACGGCGGCTGCTCTGACCAAGGAGGACCACCGAGATGCTAAGCCCATCTTGAAACCTCGTAGTCACCCCCCAAAGCACCAGGGTTTAAGGATGTCAAGGGTTTCCTTTTGTGCCTCCTTGCGGCCCAGTGGCTAGCTAGCTGGACAGTGACAAGAACCATGCAGCAACCTGAACAATGAGTAGTTTTTGGCACTAGGGCTTGCCGTTTTCAAATGAGTTTGCATCTTTATCTGAACGCTGGGCTCAACTTGGCGTGTGGTTCGGCATTTGTTCTCTAATCCGGATGGTGGGATTGCATGCGGGTGTTTAAGTAGGTAGTACAGAAGACCTGCAGTTCCTGGGCTCTTGTGATTTAAGCTCTTCCCAGCGCGCCACGGCCTTGGGGAATTTTGAAATAAGATATTTAGCAAGAATCGGCTTTCATATATACATATTATATATATATATGAGTATGCATGTATGTATATATATATATATGTAGATATGGGATACGTCTAATTAAAGTAAAAAATAAATATATATGTGTATTTATATATGTTTTATTTGCTTGTGTGTTTTTAGTCGGAAGAACAAGTTGTGGCAGTTTTGCACAGTATTTTGCATTCGGCCCTGCGAGGAGGCCAAGGCCTCACAGGAAGCGCTCCGCCAGTCATTGGCCCTGGAGCTGAAGGAAGAGATGGCGGCGGCCAGTGACTGGTCATGGCTTCGACTTTTTAGGGTTTAGGGTTTCAAGGCCTTTCCCGGCTGACTTCAGGAGTCTGGGTCCAAAAAAAGGGTTTAGGGTTTAGGGTTTGTTTGTTTTTTGTGGAAGGAGGGTTTAGGGTGTAGGATGTTCCCCCTTGTACTAAGAGGCCTTTGTAGGGATTATAATGGGGGGGGGACTTTGATCCCTATCAAGGACTGTTAGTAGAAGGGGGGAACATCCAAAGTTTAGGGCATGTTTGAGGGCTGGGCTCGTTGTTCTTTTTGGAGGGAGGTACGTCAGCCTCGTTCGGGAAAGCTGTTCTGAAGTGTGGAGGGTGCTTTCATGACGCTGTGGGGCCACTTGCGTTTAACTAGTTGCGCTAAAGTCCCCCTCATGTTTCAGTAGTGCCGGGCGACCCTGAGTATGTAGAGTCATAGGACCGGTGCAAGCAAACCCTCAGGGGGTAGTTGTGACCAACAACCCAGCAAGATGGACGTGATGTTGTGCATGGTACTCTCCAGTCCTCATACACATGTCTTCAGGGTCGGCTCAGATTTGTCATTCCTGGGCTTAGGTGACGCAATCCAGGAGAGAGCACAGCTGCGGGTCTTCGCTGCCCGCAAGGTGTGGCAGTTTTGCAGCGAAAGTCCGGCGTCGACCGCAGGTCTTCTGTAAACGGGAGTTCTGCATCGCACATGGTGGTCCGGCAACTCTACATCTCCTGGTCCTGCTCAACCCTTGGGGCAACACCTAACTAACCCCAAAGAAAAGTTGCAGGAATGTCGCTCCGAACTCCGCATGTTGCGCCAAGAGCAGGCAGGTATTGCACTACTATAGTTTTTATATTACGATATTATGATATTTTATGTTACTGTATTATGACATTTTGTGTTATTATATGATTGTATTCTTACTGTTTTCTTGAGGGGCCTCAAGGGCTGAGCCTCGTCCGTTGCCTGGTGCTGCTAGACCCAGAGAGAGAGAGAGAGAGTGTGAGCCGAAACGGATGTAACCCCAGCCTGTATTCTAGTATTTCTTTGCCGACTGGATCGCTGGAGCACGTCCCCTGGGACGACCCCCTTGGGGGTTATGTGCTGTGGAAGGAAGGAAGGAAGAGAGTGTGAGCCCACGCCCCAATAAAGAAAGGAAGAGAGAGAGAGAGAGAGATTCTTGTATTGTCATATTATTATGTTATATTATTGTATATTAGTATAGATCGACGAGAGCCGGGGAGCAGCTTTGCACCGGAGGAAGCCGCCATGAATCTGGCGACGGACGAGCAGTGTGCGGCGCGGACCTCGGCATTTGGGAGCTGGGCTAATACAATACCAATGGAACAACATTATATTTTGTGATATAAGAATGTATGAATATTGCAAGATAATAATGTAATGATGATATGATGATATAGTCATACAATGACATAGTGACATAATGGCATAATGATATAATGATATAGTGATATAATGATATACTACTCTCTTAACAGGAACATATCAGAATAGAATAATTTCATTTCAATATGTATACTACTACGCATCACAGTGCAATAGCCCCAGCCGGTCCAGAGAAAGCTCAGGAAATGGCCTTCCAAACCAAAGTTCAAGGCACCGAGCAGGCGATGAAGCAAGCAGCTCAACAGGAAGGGGTTTTGAAACCTCCATCCGCGCAGCAGTTAGGGGGGGGGGGTTTAGGATTTGGGGTTTAGTTTTTTGTTTTTTTTTTTGGGGGGGGGGGGGGGAAGCAAGAGCCATGTGCAGGAGCACGCGCGACTGCGGCAAATCAAGTGCCGCGGCCTGCATTAGCAAGCAGGAGAAGTTGAGGATCCCCCAACCACCAGAGCTGCGCAGACATTGCACCTTTTAGCTATGAGCAGTTGCAGCAATCCTAAGCCGAGGGAAGGTGAGCAGCAGCTGGCCACTGCAAGGGCGAAGTTGGATGAGGAGCCTGTCCAAGCTGAGAAGATTGTGTTCTTGGGTTTAGGGTTTACGGGAGTCAGTATTGGTCACCTGGCAGAGCCACAGCAGGCCAGATGCAAAAGGGTTTACGGGAGGGTTTACCCAGTTGCAAAAAAGGGTAGGGTCTAGGGTTTAGTTTAGGGGTTGAAATAAGGGATCCGCGAGGAGCAGCAGCAGCTGCGACGAATGAGGTGTCTCGGCATCGGCCCACCAGTAGCACGTGCTTGCCTTTGCTGTGGCATGACCAGGGATGTGCAACTGTATGTGTGGACATGTGCAGGCCTAGCTGGTACATGCTGATGCTTCTGTAGCGAACGTCGATGCAGAGAACACATTGATCCTGCGAGGGAAGTGAGCGAGACGCAGCTGGCCACCACGACATCTCAGTTGGAGGCTGGCAAAGTGAAGGCATTCAGTATTTTGAACACCGGCATGTGAAGCATGTGCATGGGACGCGCGACAGGTTTGAGACACTGTAGGATGACACAAAAAAATCTCAGAGCTGACGAAGCTAATCTCTATGAAAATGAGCGCACTTGCGTTACTGAAACTCAACAACCAAACGCACTATGACTTGCGGTCCTGAACAGCGCGCGAGGGCAAGGCGCAAGAGGATGTACGAGCATGTACGAGCTAAGGAACAGAACAAGAATTTCCAGAACCACCCCTGAACAAGCAGCATGAACAAACACACGTGCACACATATGTGTAGAAATGATAGACATCTTTATATATATATATACATATCTATCTATCTATCTATCTATCTATCTATCTATCTGTCTATATCTCTGCTTCTCGCGTATCACTATTGAATATTAACCCCTGATGTAGGCACCTCCCAGTCCTGGCTGTCAGGATGCCGCGAGTCAGCTGTCACGCCTGGAGGCCGCACAGCAGCGGACGCGGGAGGAGCGCGAAAAGGGGTTTAGGGTTTAGGGTTTAGGGGTTTAGGGTTTAGGGTTAGGGTTTAGGGTTTAGGGATGCCATTTTGGCTCAAGCCATTTTGGCTCAAGTGTCGGCTACGAGACCCAAAGCGGGTGATTGCAACAATTCAGATTCAGTAGTTCTTTAGTGCTTCGCACTCCAGTGTTTGCCATGGTGTCAGACACGGGCCACATTAAGCTATGTTCATGCATTGGTTATGCCATACGAAAGGCAGCGATCCTCAAAGTACCATCTGATGTGGAGAACCACCTCAAGGCGGCCATGAACATGCTCCGTCAGGCCAGGGATGACTGCCGACAACAGTTGCGGGAACAGTTGCAGGACTTCAGCTATGAGCCACTCCGCACTTCTGGCACTCCAGATGCTCCCCTTGCCACAAGACTCAATCTTGCCGAGCTTCTTTTCCCACATGATGGGGAACCCGAACAAGCTCAAGGGGAGAGGCGTGACCCTACAGCAGGTGATCCCAACATACGAAAGCCTGCCATGCTGAAGCACTTGCGCGAGACTGCTATAGTTCAGGATACTGATGCTATGGACACAGGGGAACCCAACCAACACAAACGAGACAACCATGACCTCAGATCTGGCGATTCTTGCGAACCGAACACCTTTCCTTCCTTGCGGGATGATCCAGAAGGCTTCGTGCGACATTTTGTTGCACAGGCGAAGAGTGATGCGGAGGTGGTAAAGGGGTTGCAAGCCATTTTGTCCGATCTCCAGCGAGAGCACAGGGAGGCCCCTCGTGGTGAACGACGCTCATGGCTCATTCGTTTGCGCGTGATACTTCGTGAAGAGATTCGCAAACATGGCGGCACGGTCAGCTCGAGAACACTTGTCAATCAGTAGGTTCATTCTGTGTCTGGCTTTGTTCGGAGAACAAGCGCGACACATCCAGGCGAGGACTCACGCAAGCCTGCAGCAAAAGGGTTTAGGGATTCCGATGGTTCTGTGAGACCCCCAAGCCGGCTTGGAGCTCAGTATACCGGGCTCAAAGTAAAGGATGGCACACAACGAATCTCATGCCGGCTGAGACGACATGATTTTGAGATAGGCTATGCGACTGAGAGGTTATGGAATCGGACTAGCTGCAACGGGCTTATGTCCCGCAAGCCGCCGCCACAACAGGAGTAGCCCAAATTGCGCCCGAAGCCAAGTAAGAGACTGAAGCCTGTGGAGGAAATGGCTGCCCATCACAGCAACTTGGCTGAGAAAGTTGGCTGCCGACCCTGGGGGAAGCAGCAAAGCCAGCGAAGGTGCGGCGGCATCTGCCTGGAACAGAAGCCTTGCATCTGCGCAGGCTCGTGGCAGCCTTCCACTTGAGATCTGGAACCCTGAAACAATGCCACCCCAGTAGGCATGACTAGCATGATACCCCAAGATCCTTTTGCGACAGCTCCGTCCTGCAGGCTGCACGAGCTCAGGCCGAATCTGTGCTGAAAGCCGCGCTTTGGCTAAAATACATCCAAGTGGGAGCTCTCAGTAAGTTTGGCCTTAAGTGTGGAGCCACTGGAGCGGAATCGACAGATCCGAGGCGTCGAAGACGTGGGAGTCCTGCCATGCAACAGGGCCACAGCAGAAACACCCTTTGCGCGGGCCTCGTCATCGATGTACTTGTCTGCACTCTCTTGACTAACGATGGACACACAGGATCTCATCGGCCCAATGGCAGACGAGATAAGCCAGTCATTTGGCGAAGGCCCAGGCTGACCGCAGCGGCTTCGCAGACTGACGCCAGCAGCGACATGCTGGAGCCGCGCTTGGGCGAGCACCTGCTGTACACACTTATACTAGCAGTCCTTAATAGGTATTATAGTACCCCCCTCTTAAAATCCCTGTCAAGGACTGTTAGTAGTATAAGGGGGGAACATCCCAATGTACACCCATGTACACCCCTTCCGACAGCAACATGCACGACTCCACTCGAGTCTGGTCTACTAGGAGCTCGACGATGTTGCCCACGAGGAGCGGCCCGGGGCACATCTCCTTATTTGTATTATGTATATTACTATGTTTATACGATGTATATAAGTGCGCAGGATTTGAGTCCATTATGATATATGATGATATAATATGACTACGGGGCGTCGAAAGGGGAGTCCTACAGCTGCACGGGCATTGACAACTGTCATCCACTCCTGCTGCAAATGCCTATGAAGTCATGTGGGAGATGCTGTAGCAAATGGTGCCGTTTGGGGTCCTGATCTTCAGGCGGCTCCTATTATACTTCTGAGAAATGACCATGTCCGTATGTCCGCGCTCGGAAGGCTTGCAATTACCCAGCAAGACTGCTTCAGCCGAAAGGCATTGATATGCTCCGCCGCACGGGTGGTCTTTTTGTGAATGCCACTTTCACCGGCTGCCCACAGGTCATGCATTAACAAGAGGCAGCAGTGGAACTCTATACACAATTCGGTGCACACCTCACTTGGTACTCGTAGTTAGGTTGCATGCTTCAAGTTTACCCGATCTGCAGGTTGAGAAGTTCCTGAACTACCGTCCGGCTGACGTGCATCCTGACCACATAGGGCATGATGAGAGTTGTTTAGCTTGGTTTTTTGAGGGCGAGTCGCCTTTAGGGTTTAGGATTTAGGGTCTGTAAGACAACGACAATTAAGGAAGGACTTCGTGCACGATGAGTTGCCCAGTGCCTCTGTGCAGCTGCTCTCTACAACGACCTCCTTCGAGTCGGACGGAGGCCTGTTCGGGTCTGCATGTCTTCTGAAAATCGCATTATGATTATTAACCTGATAATGATTATATATACTTATTGTTAGTTTATTTGCTATACATTTGGCTGCCGAATGCTATGTCGCACTCATGTCTGTCCACCAGGTGCGGCCACCGACAGCGGGGGAAGCTCGTCAATGCCTCTGGTCTACGCGGCTGCGCTGGAAGGCGCTGAGTGAGTCGTGTAACAGAGGAACCCCATACTGGAGGAGCAAGAATGGGGAGCGAGTCAAATACAAGACTTGCCTAGACCTGTGCGTAAGGCAACAATCAGCGGCGCCTAGTCTTCAGAACCATTTCCGTGCATTCAGGCAGAGCAGACCACTCCACACCGAGCCAGCACAACTGCGCGCGCAAACTTCATGAACGGATCAAGTGCCGTCTTGATCTCTGGTCTTGCTGGTGAAAGTAGGTGAAAATAACTACAGTTTCTGCGACCAAGGACGGGGGCAAACGACAAGGGGTCGGGGCGGGGGTGTGGTAGCGCGACCAAGCGAGGCTTTTACCGACCCACTTCATGACAGGCTGCTGCAAATTCGACTCTAGCGACTCGGATCCTCCCTAAACCCTAAGCCCTAAACCCATACGCGGTGACCACTTCCCAAAAACTTGACACCTCACCGACATGAGAAACAGCCACAGGCATCGAGACACATGGCTGGAGTGCCGTCTACCCCTTGGACGACCCTCCCGCCTGGACCATCCTTCACTGGGCAGCCATGGAAGGTGTCTGAGCTCAAAATTTCAGCTTATTGCGCAGACCTGCAGGTCCAAAGGGAGAACGGTGTTTTACACAAGGTTGAGGAGTCGGAGTCAACAGGAAAACATGGCTTAGGGCTGAGGTTTCTGGGCAGTTGTCGGCGTTCACTGCCCATGTAGTACTGAACTGTGGGCCGGGGCGCCGCGGCTGCACAACAATCTAGCTCCTACTTTGGGATGTTTCCCCCTTTTACCAACAGTCCTTTGTAGGGATTATAGTAGGGGGTACTAGAATCCCCATCAAGGACTGTTAGAACAAGGGGGAAGATCCCAGGTCCTACTTAGACTGTTGGAACCCCTACTCAAGTGTTGGCGCACGCTGCTTGGGGAAGGAGTTCTTGAAAGAAGGCCTAAACCCTAAACCCTAAACCTGAAAGAAGCCTTCAGCACAAGGTCGCTTGGAGATTTGCCGTCGACTGCTGGCTGCGGGCGCCGACCCTTTCTGTGAGGAGGGGGGGGGGGGGCTTATCACGCTGAGCTTACGGGGGTTATGGGGGTTTACGAAAATAGGGGGGGGGGGGGGATCCCCTGATAGCAGGGACCCCAAAAAGGTACCCCTAATATCGTGAAGCCCCAGAAAGGTTTAGGGGTTTTAGGATTTGCTGGTCAGGTCGTGCAAGCTGCTTTTCTGGCATCCCTTCCCGGTTCAGAGGATGCTGCTCGTTGTGTACCCGTTGTTGTGACAACCTTATTTCTCTCTATCAGAAGAACCATCGAATCCCAACCTGCTGGAGCAGAACCGATGCAGATTGGAGCAGAACCGATGCAGATGGGAAGCACGCAAGACTCCTGAGTCATCCTAAACCCTAAACCCTAAACCCTAAACCCTAAACCCTAAACCCTAAACCCTAAACCCTAAACCCTAAACCCTAAACCCTAGCCCTAAACCCGACACCCGAAACCCTAAATCGGAGGGCTTGAGTTGGGGGCATAGGGGGTGCCAGGACGAGCGCGGCTGGACGCCCCTGGACTGTGCGGAGGAAGCCGGTGAGGCTGAGGCCCTCTGCGTGTTCAGGGCTTCCGGAAGCGAAAGGGTTTAGGGTTTAGGGTTTAGGGTTTAGGATTTGTAGGGTTTAGGGTTTAGGGTTTAGGGTACAGGCACACCTGTAAGGGCTAGGCAGTGCTGCACATACTGGAAGGCCCCGATCACCTAGACATGCTTCACACAAAGTCTTCCAAGAGTTTGCGCACGTTCTAAGGTGCCAAATTCGGTGCCTGCTTCTTCGGTGGCCCTTAATGAGATTGCAAGCTCTACAGCGACCCAGTCTGCTTAAGGCAGCTCCACCTTGCGAGGTTTGCAACCTCCTCTTGCACCATGGCTCGAGTGCCGATGCCCAGGCCAGCGCTGGAACGCCGAACGTTCGTTTCTGTCTTGTCAGCCCATTTTTGGGGTTTCCGAAACTAGGGGGTATCTTGGGGTGCTTGTTTAAGGGAATCCTTACTATTTCGGGGGGTCTGTTTTAGGGGTTCCCTTATTTTCGTAAACAGCTCTGCATGGGCGTAAGCTGTGCAAGTTCTTGCTCGAAGCCAAACCCTTGCAATTGACCTCCAACTTTCGTAACATCTGCAGAGACTCAGCTCACATAGCTTCTTTTGCTTCCCACAAATATCACCCACAATGTCTCAGAATCGAAGTGGTTCGTATAACCTTCTCTTGAACTTGGAGCAATTACGTCACCCGCTTCAACGGCCTTAAGCCGTCCTTGGCCCAGTGACACCTCTTCGTTGAACCCAGGATGCCCTGCACCCTGTGCTGGCAGCAGCGGTCACAGCTGTGGAGAACTACGGTTGGCAGGACATCCGTGATTCTGTGTATGCGCAGGACATTCTACAGTCAGGCGACACTTTGGCGGGTGTTGGGTTCACGGTGCAAGTGGTTGCCGCGCGCAGGCTGTGCATGAAGGCCGTTGCGAGTGGACAGCGCTGCACTGGGCAGCATCCGAGGGCAACAAGGCCTTGTGCGCGCGCTTGCTGCTCCATGATGCAGATCCCACCCAGGCCAGCTCTGGAGGGGGGGGAGGTGGGGGGCAGACGCCTTTTGCTCGCCACTTGTGATTCTGCGTGCTTCGCCATGTGCAGGTGGATCAGGCGGGGCACAGCGCGCTGGACTATGCCCGAGACGCCGGGCACCGCATGACGTTTGAGTTGCTTTGGCAAGCAAAGCAGCGGCGCCTGCGACCGGCAGCTTCAGCTCCTCCTGCGAAGCAGGCCGTGCACAACATGTTGAACCCCAGTGAACCCCCTCATATTCGCCACTCTGAACCTGAACCAAGTGCCAGCAAGGCAGATGACGGCAAATGTCAAATAGAATCCACGTTCCTATCGCAGCACGGAAAAGCTTCATCGCCGCCTGCCAGGAGTTGGAGCCCTCGGCTCTGCCTTTGCATGGAGCCTATCCGCAATCTCTGCTGCTGCCCCCAGGGCACTCCTGAGTCTGCTGAACACTGGGCACCAGATTCATGACAATGTAGGATGCTTGATGGGCTTTCTTGGAACGTAAACTGGAACTCTGTTCTGTCGGGTGTGAGCTACTCAAAGATGCTTGATGGGCTTTCTTGGAACGTAAACTGGAACTCTGTTGCAGAAGAGGGCTGAAGAAGTATAAACCTGACCTTTGCGGCCCGCACGTTGTGAATTGGCCCCCCCCCCACCGACATCTGTTTCACCTTTGTTAGTGATGTCGACTGCGACCTTGCTCTCAACAAGCGGGGTCCCGGTCAGGAGACCAAGCCGCCGCTTGTAGGGTTTAGGGTTTAGGGTTTAGGGTTTAGGGTTTAGGGTTTAGGGTTTAGGGTTTAGGGTTTAGGGTTTAGGGTTTAGGGTTTAGGGGTAGGGTTCGATCCTCACAGGCCAGAAACCCCGGGAGCCCTGAAGCAAAAAAGGGTTTAGGGTTGTCCATACTGCTGGCTCATGGGAGTGTCTCTCGGGGCTGCCTTATGGGAAATCACTTCGGGGAGGCTGTAATAGCAAACATTCTCCGAGGGTGGCTGTTCCGGAAGCTTGATTTCCAGGCATGTACCATAGCACAACGCGGCATTTTCCTGGGTCGCGAGGATCTTTATCACCCTCAGCCTGAGAGGCCTTTTTCGATGCAGTTCTGGCCACGACATGTTGGCAGCAGAGTTGTTTGGCGTTCGCAGATACGATCTGCAACATTCTGCAACAAAGTATACGCCTGCCTGCGTGGCCAGGGCCTGCGACTCGCAAATGGCTTGAGCAGGCTTTTAGTTGACGCCAAGGCGACCAGAATTGGTAAAAGACACGAGACGAGTTCGTGCGCGGGCCGTGTGTGAGTGAGCGAGTGAGTGCGCGAGTGAGTGAGTGAGTCTCTGTCTGTCTCTCTCTCTGTGTCTGTGTCTGCGTCTGCGTCTGTGTCTGTGTCTCTGTGTGTGTGTGCTTGTGCTTGTAAGCATGTCGGGAACTCAACTCCCGCAAAGCCTGTTCCTAGCAGGGTGCGGAGAGAAGGGGGAGGTAGGGGAACAGGGGTGGAAAAGGAGCTGTGGGTCCCCACAAGCCGAAAAACCGAACCCGCTCCCTTGGCCCCACGAAAGACAGAAGCGAGACCGAGGAGGATTTTGGGGGGACAGAGGGTTTCGGGTTCAGGGTTTAGGGTGCGGAGCTGCAATTGGTATTGTAGAAAGGAGTTAGTGTTGGAAGTTGGAAGGGTTAATGAACCCGGTAATCGTATTTGGCTCAAGATGGGCTTGAACAGAAAGCCACAAGTTCAAAAAGAAGTGCCTGGGTTCTTAGGGTTTGGTAAGGGTGTGGGTTCCTTCCCCCTTTCCTTCCCCCCTGGGTTGCTCTTATCCGTGTTCTTGGTTGTTTCTTGGTTCGATCTGGGAAATATAAGTTCAGGGCGATTAGGGGAGTTGATTTCCTTCCTTGGTTGTCCCCCCGTAGGTTATGAGCCCAAATTAGGTTCCCTGCGGTTAAGTGTTCTTTCAAGGTTTTGGGATCAAGAAGCAATGCCTTCCCCGAAGCGATGGCTCCAACTTGCCTCGGATGGTGGACAAGATGGTGGAGCTGGAAATGGTGCAGCTGAGTCTCTGGGTGAAAGATCGGTGTTGGAAGAGGTGATTCCCGACGCTGAAGAACATCTGGAAGAGGCCTTGGTTGCAGAAAGCCCCAATGTGGGTATGAATCCCAATAGGGATATGGTTAGCAATGCTGAAGCTGAAGGACGTGCTGTTTCTGTACCGCCAAAGCCTGGTGAAAAAAGGAACTGGGATGCGACTGGTGGCATAGATCGTGAAATGGAGGTGACTGTTTTACGAGTGTTGCGCAAACACGGGTACCAGCCGTCGTCTTCGACTTCGGGTCGAATGGTAGACCAAGAGTCTCAGACCGATCTGATTGGAGAAGTGCTACAAGCGACCAGGAGGCCGTTGAACAAGATCAAAAAGGGTCCATCTTCGAGTTCCCAAGGTGGTGGAAGCGGTCACAAACAGAAGGGTGCGGACGGCTTTGAAGCTGCACCTGCTGCTGAATACGCCATGGGGGAGGAGGAGATCCTACAGATGGAGGCTGAACGGTTGCGACAGCTGTCAGAAGAAGAGGACGAGATGCGACAGGTTTCTGAAAGGGACGGTTTTCGGAAAGACGAGCATCTGATCCAAGCGTGTGATGGCACAATGTGGGAATTGCACCTCCATGAAGATGGGAGACAATATTATTACTGCCTGGATACGCACGAAACCAAGTGGACATTGCCGGTGGTAGGTGAAAAGGTGAAGAGTGACGAGGTGGTTGGGTCTCCTTTGGGCAATGAGCTGGAAATGGAGGCGGCACTGGATTCTTCATCCTCTACTCCGAAGACTGAGTCTACGAGGGCATTCCAGGGTAGTGTAAATAGTTTAGGTGAAAAAGATTTTTCCTCTACTATCAGGGATAGCGGTCCTAGGGCTGATGGTGACGCCCCGACCTCGGGTTCTCCTGATGAGGAAGGGATTCCTGGGAACCAAGCCAACATCGCTGGAGCTCAACACCTGGATCGGGAAGAAACAGAAGCGCTTTCTGAGGGTGGGGCAGCGATGGAATTGGTGGATCCAGAAGAGAAAATGCCCAATGAGGTGATCGGAACTGTGTCGGCTGCAGAAGAGCGAGTGGTGGATGTGGTACCTGTTGTTCAGGAAGGTGGTCCTGGAGATTCGGAGGATGGAGAGAAAAAGTTGTGTGTTACGACTGAGGAGGTCTCTTCGTTTGGTGCCAAGAATTCTGCCATTCAAGGGGAAAAAGAAGCTTCTGGAATAGCTGGAGACACGGATGATCTGAAAAATGAGGCCTGGAGCGCCAATGATGCGCGGGTTGATGCGCCAGATATTACCTGGAGTGCGAAGGAAGCACGGGTTGAGGTGCATGTGGTGGTACGTTCCACGGGCGACTGCAACAATGGGGCGCAGGTCTCCGCAGCAGCTGATGATGGAGGTTCACAGGTGGACGCACTGGTGCAACCTGAAGTTAGCAGCGAGGAACGAAATGACAAGGGCTACACCGGAGCCAATGAGGCAGCTGTGGTCAATGATGGTGGAAATTCTCCTTTGGAGGCCATGGAACCAAAGGAGCCTGCGGTGGAAGAAAGCGTGCCTGCCGTGGATGATCGACTCAATTGCCCTGCAGTGGAAGAAGATTTGCCTGCTGCAGAAGGTGAGACAAAGGACTCCAATGATGGGTCCACTCCCATGAAGGGAGAAGCGTTGCCGTCTGGAAGTTCACCGGAAGTCGACACCGAGCGAACTACAGCAGATGAGGCAAAGCCGTTGGCGGAGAAAAAGGGAGGTCCTGAAATCCAGGAGCACAAAAAAGATGAGCTTGTGGGACTCGTGGAGCAGGACGAGCAGTGTGACCCAAAGGTGAAGACAAAGGATGCGCCAGGAGCCGATGATACAGAGATGGTTTCTGAAGAGCGTGTAAAGAAAGTGCCCCGAGCGGGAGCCTTGGAGTCACCTGGGCCACATTGCTATCAAGAGGGAGATGAGATCATGGGTCTAGTGCGCTGCATCAATGGGTATGGAGCCTTTTTGGACCATGGGGATATGAATGTATTGATTCCTGCAGAAGGGAACAATGCATATCAGTTCAAGTTTGGTGATACTGTCAATGGAACAGTGAAACGAGTGGAAGATGATGGTACCATAATCTTGGACACCTTTCTGGTTTTGGAAGAGGACGTGGAGGACTCTTCTTCGACGCTGCGGAAGTGGAAACCCAGCGGCTGGAGTACGTGGTGGACGGATTCATGGTATGCTGGTCAATGGTACCAAGATTCCAACGGTCAATGGGACTGGAAACAGGAGGAAGAGCAATCCGATGAAGAGCTTGTGGTACAGGAGTTGTCTTCTGAAGAACGAAAAGAAAGGCAACTTTATGGAGAAAAGATCTACAAAGCTCTTCTGGAGAATGGAAATGAAGAGGAAGCCTATGTTGGCAAAATTACTGGGATGCTGTTAGGTCGGCCGATGGAAGATTTACAGGAGTGTGTTGCGGATCAGGCATTCCTCAATGCGGAAGCTCGGCGCGCGTATGGCATCTTGCAAAATGATGGTTGGAAGCCTGATGGTACAGAAAGCACAGGCTTGGGGAAGTTAACCACTTTTTCCCGAAAACAGTACCACAACGCGCTTTTCGAACTGGCATGCAGAAAAAGGAGATTTTCTCGACCAGTTGTGGGTGAAGCGGTGGCAACGGTGCTGAATCAAGGGGAAGATGAGTTTTGGAACGCGCTTTGGTTGGACACCAAGCTATTTTTGCAGGAGCTTGATGGTGCAGTGCAATCCATGAGCAAAAGGGAGAACAAGCCAATGGAAGCCTACATGGATCCTGACCAGTACAAAAAGGCTTACATGACACCAAAGACGGTGTTGTCACCTGGTTACAGCAAGCTGTGCAGGTTCTTCAATAAGGGAAGGTGTCGCAATGGCGATGGGTGTCCCTATGAGCATCGTCGGTACGGTGAAGGTTGGCCAGAAGGGGGGTCAACTGATCCAAAGAATAGCCAAGAAGCTGATGATGAGGACGGGAACATCGGTGACCCTCCCACAGAGGAAGGTACAGTGGATGAGGCACAGCAGGAGCGGGAGGATTTAGCCTTCCGGGCCAAGTACAATTTTGGCAAAGGTGCATCAAAGGGTGAGCCTACGTCGGGTGAGCCAAAAGGTCGGCTGTGTCTGTATTACAATCAAGGTGGTTGTAAATATGGGACTGCATGCAGGTACCTTCACAACGATGATGTGGCATTGGAAGGGACTTGGGAGCCCGGCAAAGCTTGGGACAATGCTTCCAGGAAGTCACTAAGGGACGCAGGGTTCCACCATTGCTGTTTCGATTATTACCTCAGAGGACGTTGCCGGAAAGGGTTAAATTTCTGCAAGTACTCCCATGACGAGATGTCAGAGGAGCGGCTGTCGCTCCTGAAACACTTGGTACAGGTGGCCAA